TTCTACAACAAGCATTTCCCCCTCAGCGTCCGAGACCGAAAGACCACGGAGTTTCAGAATCTGGTCCAAGGGAACAAGACGGTTGCAGAATACGATCGTGCCTTTACTGAACTGGCAAGATATGCAGAGGGAAACCCAGAGTTTCCCGGTCCTCTTTTCCTTGCATGTGGCCCTCGGAAACACACCTCGGCTTAGACCTGGTTGGTGCCCAGCATGTTTTCCGAAAACATTTGTGTACATGAGAGACTTGTTTGAAAGCGCATTCAATAGGCTTTGCCATGTGTTGTAGGACTTGGGCTTGTCTCGACCCCGACGTGTGAAGAAACTATGTGAGTGGTATTTTTAATAAAGCTATGTTACACTTGCTTTTGTAAATCTCGTCTTGCCTTGTTTTGGAAAGTACTTGATCTAGCATGAATGACTATCCCTACTTGTATATTAAACACTATCTTGTTTTGATGACATTTCTTGAAAGTCCTTAGTTGCAGGGGACTATAATGCAACTGCACTCTTGTCTTGATATGTCATCACCCCTTGAAATAAGTAGATGTTATTAACATCCAAGGAACTTGAAAGCCGGCAAATGAACTTGACTTTTCCCTTGATTGTAAAGTATATTATGTATTGTTTTGTAAGAGATCTTGGATGTCAATCATGCAAAACCTTTATTTCTAATATCATTCACTGAGTATCCAAGCTCACCCTCTCTATATATATGTAGGTGATGAACAAGAAGGCATTGAGGCCTAGGCGTGATGCCGATGTGTTTTGGGTGCATTGCCGACATGTTTTTGATTTGCGTTTTGTATCGTCTTGAAGATTATGCTTCTCGGCTTATGTTTTCTCTTGTTTGTTTTGGAATATGTCGGCTTGAGAAGCCTTTTGGTCAGGATGTATTTTGTATCTCATTCTTGTTGTAACACGGCCAAGGCAGGCAAGCCAAAGCCAGATGTATGACATTCCATTGGACTTAAGCACGGCTCTCATGGACTACTCAGTTTTATATGTATATTTTGCTTCCGCTCTTGTAAGCCCCATATTTCATACTCTGATTGTGTGTGATTTTTGTAAGACGGCCTTCGGTAACCACGGGTTACTGGCCATCACGGCACCAAACTACTAGGGGCGGTTTGGGGGCCTGACAGATTGGTATCAGAGCACAAGTTCCTTATAGTACGTTAATCACACACCTCGAGTCCTAAAGAGCATAGGATTTCCCTTAGAATGATGTTAGGATTGCATCATATTGCTCGCTAGTTGACAAGGTGTGCATCATCTCGGCGTGAACATTTTGTTATATCAGCATAATTATATTCTCTTGCATGCATGTTCCTTCGTTCATTTTGTTTAAGTGTCACACCCTGCATACTCCCAGTATCATGAGGAGAGGTAGACCTCCAGTTGGCCGAGATCGTTCAGAAGATAGATTGGAGAGACTGGAAAGGTTAGTCGAAGGCTTGGTTCGTGAGCTGAGACAACCGAGGCCGCAGGATACTGGTACCACCTCTACCCAGGCCGAGCAGACCAATGGCCGATATGTAGCTCCGCCTCCACCTCCTCCAGTGCCGCAAGTGCCTCCGCAGCAAGCTTTGTATGGGAATGACACGATAACCCTGATCAGAGAATTCAAGAAAATGAAACCGCCAAGATTCCAAGGGGGCATAGAGCCAATGAAAGCCGAGGCGTGGGTCTTAGAAATGGAGAAGCTGTTTGAAATTTTCCCCAGTACAGACGCTCAGAAGGTATCCCTGGCAGCGTTCACGTTAGACGACGATGCCCGCAGGTGGTGGATGATGGTCCGAGAAAGTAATCCGGGTTTGACTTGGGCCAGATTTCTGGAGTTGTTCTACAACAAACATTTTCCCCTTAGCGTCCGAGACCGAAAGACCACGGAGTTCCAGAATCTGACACAGGGGAACAAGACAGTGGCAGAGTATGACCGTGCCTTTACTGAATTGGCGAGGTATGCGCCTCACATGGTTGATGACGACTACCGGAAGGCAAGAAAGTTTGAAAGTGGGTTGCGTGGACCGATACAAGACCGCGTCAACATGCTCAATATGCCGACGTACGCCGGAGTGCTAGACAAGGCTATCCTAGCTGAAGCTAACTTGAACCGATACCAGAGTTCGAGTGAGGGCCAGAGAAAGAGGCAGAATTATGATAATCGCCGAGTTCCGTTCAGTGCCAAGAAGAAGATCAATGTGGACAGTTCCAGCAACTCAAATCAGGAAGGAGCTGCTAAGCCGTTGTGTACGAGTTGTGGGAAGCTGCATTTTGGGGTCTGCCGTTGGGCGACAGGGGCTTGCTATGAGTGTGGCGAGATAGGCCATCGTGTGAAAGACTGCCCGAAAGCAAGGACCGATGATGGAAAGAGGAATGGAAGCACCTCGGGCTCTGTGCAGAAGAATAACATCGGGGGAATACAGGCGAGACAGGGCAGAGTTTTCGCACTAGTGCCAGGAGACGCCCAGAATGCTGAAGCAGTGGTGTCAGGTACCATTTCAATTTGTACTCAAGATGCATACGTATTGATTGATTCGGGTTCTACGCATTCATTTGTATCTACCTTATTCGCCGAGAAGTTGGATAGGGAATTAGAACCCCTTGAATATGTATTATCTGTGTCTACTCCATCTGGGAGAAACATGATTGTCGCATCCATTTATAGGGCGTGTGTTGTTATGATTGAGGGTGTAGAGTTGTTAGTCGATTTGATGCCCTTGAGCATGACTCATTTCGATGTCATACTGGGGATGGATTGGTTAGTAGCGAATCATGCATCCATTAATTGTGTTACTAAGAGCGTTATATTGAAGACCCCAGATCTAGCCGAGGTCATTTTCCAGGGTAAAGGAGTAGTACCCCCGCCTTACTTAATCTCATCCATGAAAGCCTACAAGTTGGTTCGGAAGGGATGTCAAGGTTATTTGTGCAGTATACTAAGTAATTTGAATGGAAGTGTTGAATTGACCGACATACCCGTTGCTGAAGAATTCCCTGACGTCTTTCCAAATGAGCTGCCTGGCCACCTTGTCGATAGAGAAATAGAGTTCACTGTGGACGTCTTGCCAGGAACACAACCTATCTCCAAAACGCCCTACAGAATGGCCCCAGCCGAACTTAGAGAGCTGAAATTGCAACTACAAGAATTATTGGATAAGGGATTTGTCAGGCCGAGCACTTCACCATGGGGGGCACCCGTTCTGTTTGTTAAGAAAAAGGATGGCACACTTCGTCTTTGCATTGACTACAGGGAACTTAATAAGGTGACCATTAAGAACAAGTATCCCTTGCCAAGGATTGATGACTTGCTTGATCAACTACGAGGAGCACGAGTCTTTTCCAAGATTGACCTCAGATCGGGCTACCACCAGTTGAAGGTTAAAGCCGAGGATATCGAGAAGACTGCTTTTCGGACAAGATATGGCCACTACGAATTTTTGGTGATGCCCTTCGGAGTGACCAATGCCCCAGCAGCATTCATGGACTTGATGAACAGAGTCTTTAAGCCATACCTAGATGAGTTTGTCATTATTTTTATCGACGACATATTGATCTATTCCGGGAGTTTCACGATGAAAAGGTATACCAAAGGATGACATTGTGGATACTATGCCTTTTTTTTTTTTTTGTAATAGGATGTTTCCATACATTGTACGAAACTCTAAATTTCGCATTGAATATGAGCCACCTGATCTGTAGTGGTAACAAATCATTTATTCCACAAGTGACCAAAATATATCAATTCATGACAAAGAGTCGCCACTTAGTCTTTAATGAAGACCTAAGAAACCGTTTGATTCAGAAAACAAAATATAGGCACTAAACCGTCATAACCAAATACCTCAGATTGGAAATTTAGGTACAAAAAGAGAAAGTCATTGATGTGAGCACCCCCCTCATCCAATCAATTGATTGGCTTCCACTAATTCTTTATTTTATGAGATTTAAGTAATTAATTAATTCCATGAACTTCATTATTAACCCTAAATCTTTTACTAATCCTATCAACTAGGTGATTGAATAAGCAAATACCATTCAAGTTGGATTTATGAACACCACCACATTAAGCCAATGATTTTCATAAAACAATTTGATTTTCTTAACAAAAAGATGGCTCTAGAAATTATATGCTTATGAACACAATTCAAACAATATCACGAAAAGCATTCAAAATAACCAATTGATCACCAAAAGAACATATAAACTTGAATTATTGAAGAACAGTGCATCAAGTAAGCAAACAATATACTATGAAAAGAGAAGCACTCACCTTGTACTTTTCAAGCATCATGCCAATAAACATGAAACATTAACATACAATGATCCTAAATATGCAACTAAAACATGTAACATGAACCTATAACCTAGTTAGACAACTAACATGATGAACATAAATCAAAATAACATAACAAATCTAAACTAACATGCATGATGTAACTGGGTTATTATGTATGAATATATAGCAGCTCAAAAATACTAAACAATCCTAAAAACATGAGAAAAATTAAGCAAAATAAAACTAGATCTAATCTAGCATGATGCGATGATAACATGTAAACTACCTAACCATTATCAAACAAGGAAAAACATGATTTAATGTACTGAAATTAGTGAAGAATGAGATTAGTACCTTGAGGTTTGGTAATCAAATTGAAGAACAACTAAAGAAGGCGAGAAAGTTGCTTGAAAACTTCCATCAAGCTTTGGCAATGCTTTGATCAATCTTTTTCAACCTTAGATCTACTTTTACTTGTTGTTTTGCTACTGAATTACGTTGGGAATTTTGAAATCGAGGCTAGGGTTTCAATGCTTCACTCTTCTAGTTCAACTCAACAACTCAAAATCACTCTAACACTTCGAAATCCTCAAAAAGGGCGGTAAGTGGGGGTCCTTTTATAGGCAAGGGGAGCCTTGGGGGCTAAGAAAGACATAGCTAGGGTTCCCCCATCGCTAACTCAGGGCGTCTCCAATCCAAACACAACACAGTCCCAAACGAACTAGGATTCTAGGCTAGTTGACTGCACGTGTGGCCACCCAATGCCATGTGCAACCGCCCATTCTCTTATGTGGCCACACATGTCATACCACGACACATGTGCGGCCATAAATCTGATGTGCGGATTTTTCATGCAAATATGCAGATTTTCCATGCAACGTATGGGTTGACTCTCAAAGTGCAGCCGTGTATTGCCTGACCCACTAGCCCACAAGATTCCAACTTAATTCATTGATTCTCGGGCTTACTTGTTGCTTAAGAAAACTCGATTAACTCCCAATTGACGCTTTTAAAGAAAATCGATCAATGCTTTTGAAAATATCATCAATTTGAATTCAACCAGACCTTTGCCCTCCCTCTCCTTTTAAGTAGTACCAAAGAGGTAGTTTTGGATAAAAACTAGTTTAGGGGTAAAACAGTAATGTTTGGGGGAAATGGTATTGGTTAAAAACGAGGTGATACAGAGCTCATAGCAACTTAAGTACCATTTCATTGTCAGGAAGCGTTTAAGCACCTAAGTCGTAATGGTCAGACAAAATGAGTTGTCTACAGATGCGAGTCTTTTTTCTATGAAGGTTTTGGTTTGTGGCAGTGGAGACACTTCAAGAAGGTACGACGAATCCCATGGGCTCAAGCATGAGGACAAATGAAGCAATGAAGGATATGTTTGAGCACTATTGTGTAAAGTGAAAATAATGTGGGCACTCTGTTTAGGTGGTGCAACATCTGCCAGGTGAAGGTAGTGTGGTAACTCCGACATGCATATCATTATTGGATATCATATTATTATGTGAAATTGCATGTTTATGTGCTTAATTTTGCTTGTATCTGTTTGATTATGAAATATCTGTTAGAATACGTGCTTTGAATTAGAAATTAAAAGCCTTGACGAATTCAGAAACAAAAATTGACGAGTTCAATAGACTAATTGGAATATTTAGAACCATTTGAGACATTTAGTTAAAATTCGATTCAGATTAAATTAATTAGGATTAATCAATTTAAATTGAGTAGGATTAATTAATTAGCTTAATCTAATCCTATGCATATATATGAGTTAAGTAGAGTCAGAACCCATTTAGATTACATCCTTGTGCTCAAAAATCTGGTAGAACTAGTCTAGAGAGAGAGTGTGACCATTTTAGAGAGAGAAAGAGAGAGAGAGAGAGAGAGTTCAAGAATTGTGTAGAAAGAAGGAGAATTAAAGGACGATTGTGTTAGAATGCTTTAAATTAAAGTTTAAGGTATGTATTTGATCCTTAGTTCTTGAAGACAAATCACCTAGAAGATTGAATTCACGAAGAATTAAGATGATATAATAGGAATTAGATTGAAGATGGGAAAAATTGACATATAATAGACATGTATGCATAATTCCATCATATTTTACCATTTTAAGCTTGAGTTCTAGTGTTTTTGTTAAAATTGAGAGTTGAATTTTACATGCAACAAAGAATTATACGTTTCAAGAGTTTAATTTCATGTGTTTAAGGGTTTTGGAAACAATTCCATACATGCATGGAGATTTTGATTTCAAACTTGGCAATTCAAGGTATTTTTGAGCTAATGGTTCCAAATTGAGTTTATATATATGTTTTTCTATGTGTTTTGATGAGTTTGGTACAACCATGCCAGTTTTGAACTTAGATATTCATGTTCTAAGACTTAAATTCTGATCTAGAAAACCTAAAATTCTACCTCATCGCTCGAGCGGTGAAGTTACCCCTCGAGCACACATTTCATGCTTCTAGTTTATTTTTTGCAAAACATTGTATATCGCTCGAGCGAACAAGTGTCCACTCGAGCATCCTTAATTCATTTTGCATATTGGCTTGAGCAACCATCAAGCCTACATTCTGACCATCCAGTAATTTTGCAGACCATGTGGTCCGCTCGAGCGACTAATAGTGTAGTCAAGCAAACTGTCCTACTTCAGTAACTTTCAAAAAATACTTTCAAGTGCAAACTTTCATTCTCATGCTCTTTTAGGCATTCTTGGGTAGTGTTTAGGCATCATTAATGAGAGAATAAGCTAGAAACACATTTAAGGAAATCGAATTAAGAAGGAATAATTAATTAGACAATGTGTTTCAACATGTATCTTTGTTATGTGTTTTCTGTATGTTGGTCACCCGAAGCCTGACGTCTGTAGAAGCCCACTACAAGTAGTATCTCTATACAGATATGTTTAAAATGTATTTTGAGTTGTTACATGAATGATATTTTGAAATGTTATTTTTATAAAAATGAGTGAATGTTTCATTTGAAAAGTATTCATGGCATCCTTTAGTGAGACCCTCGTCTGGGGGAGACAAATACCATGGCCCTTTGATTACTGGATTACAAATATCTCTGATGAATGACCCAAGTGGTCCCTTTACTAGACCTTATGTGTAATGACCCTCATTCTTCTCTTGGTCACGTTCATGTGCATTTGCGTGATTTTGTCTTGTTAAGCTTGCATTTGTAGATTTTGACTTGTTTTGCCTAAGTGAAGGTCCATGTCTTGTTTTGTGCTTATGTGATTTGCCTAAATATTGCTTGTATGCTTTGTTTCTTGCTTAGTGTGTGTAGCCTAGGTCACGCCCTTGAACCTCTTACACCTAGGACCATCTTGGAACCACTTTGGTTGATCTCCACCTTCACCCTGGCATATTGGCCGAGATGTTACCATCTAGGCAACCAACATCCTTGATCCTTGCAGCTTGTGATCTTGTTCTTGGACTGGTATGACCTAGACCGAGGTGTGGCACATCTAGGCC